ATGGATGATGCGACTTTACCTAAATACAGACAAGTCTTGGGTTCGATCCCCCACCCTCGCGGCTAGCCTCAGTTGATGGATGGACCAAAAAATGTCCCTTCACATTGATGTATTTGAAGGCCAGTTTTGTGTGAGACCGTTAGGGTTGACGGTTATCAACTTTTTTTTTTAATCCATGTTCGGTGTTAAACTATTTTTTATAATAAAATGGTCTTTCAAATTTGTATCATACAGTATTAGTTTATTTGATTGTAACTGATATTTTGGTTATAATCCTTTTAATATTATATTGTATATTATATTATGTTAATTTATGATACATAGATTTTAATTTATTGTTTCATTATTTAAAAAAAAAAAATTTAAACATAATGGCGAAATATCGTGTGAGAATGAGAGTTAAAGTGAGAAACGTAATAAATGATATGAATCATTGATCACCTTTAATCTCAAACTCACACATGAAGACGCTTGTGCATCTCATCTTAATGTGCATACAAGGATGGAGATCCATTTTTTTACTTCTCACCTTAACTTCTACTCTCACCGGAACTCAACCCAAACATAATAACATTTTATAAATTTAATGTAACAAAAAATTTCAACCAAACTCACAAATTTCATCTAGCGGTGTCGCAAGTTGTGAAATTGCGGGTCTTCATTTTTTTTTACACTTTGACACCTTTGCAAACTACGGAGCTGTGACTATTTTTGTAATTTTAGGGAAAAAAATGAAAAAGTGAAATTCAACATAAAAATAACTATTTTAATGAATATGTAAAGGGTGCTATGGTTTACACCCTACCCATCATTTATTATTTTTTATTTTTCTATAAAACCTCGTGATTAGAGAAAGTACATATCATTTACTTTTTTTTATTTTCTTAGGTTTTGACTTTGAAGATGAACATATATTTACTTTTTTAATTTTTCTATAAAACTGTAAAAAGTATACCTCATTTATTTATTTTTAATTTCCTATAATTTTGATTTTGAATATATTTAATCGGGTGCTATGGTAAATGAAGTATCTTTTCCCAGAAATCTTGAATTCCTCACTTTCTTTCTTGAATTTTGCTTTAACATTAATATCTTATAACTGGTTTTTTTTTAATTAATTAATTTAATTAACTATATCTCCAATTCCTTTAAAATGAAACAAAATTTTCAAATCAAAAAAAAAATTTACATTTAATACCAACAACTTTTTTATTCTGAAGATTTAAGATATTAATTATAACACTAAAATATTCAATTATATATTTCTCTCTCTTCTTTCCATTTATATATTGGTTCGTTAAAAATAAATATTTTGAGAAAATAAACTGAAGTTTTTAGAGAATTATCTAAATTTGAAGAAAAATAATAATATTTAATTAAAATAAGAATTATTAACTAATATTAAATGTATAAAATATTTAATGGAATAAATCAAGAAAACTACCAAAACTAATAAATTACACCAGTAATAATATAACAATAAATATTTTAAAATAAAAAATAACACATGAAATAATCAATTATATATATATATATAGAGAGAGAGAGAGAGAGATGTGAGTTATTATACAACTTTTTATATTTGTACAACCAATACAATCTAATCTCGATCGTCCATTTGATTTGATGAATATATGATTAATCAAAACTTCTATGAAATTATATTAAAGAATAATCAAAACTTCTATGAAATTATATATTAATCAAATTAAATGGACGGTTAAGATTTGGTTGTATTGGTTGTACAAATGTAAAAGATTATATAATAACTTTCACACACACACACACACACATATATATATATATATATATTATATCATATGATGATATATTCTCCAAGTATCTATGGTTTGCACCCCACTTACCCCATCATTTATTTATTTTTTAAATTTTCCTATAAAATTACCTCGTAATTGTAATAACCATCCTCTTAAAATCCTCTCTCAATAACTAATACTAATTAATGAAAGTTAACTCCTAACTATCTCCTAATTAATAAAAATTAACTCCTAATTAATAAAAATTAACTCCTAACTAATTCTTAATTACTAAAAATTACCCTATAAATAACGATGAATTTCATTTTATTACTACGTCCTGCAAAAGACTTAAACTTTCGAAGATAACTCATTTTTTTATTATTGCAGGAAATATCATTTTTTTCGAAGATAACTCAAATCAAGGTGTTGATGACGTTCACAAATTTTATGAAATGGAAGAAGCTCAATTTTTCACATGATCATCTTCATTATATACAGAACAGGTATAATAAATTTTAAATTGTCATTAATATTTATCACCTCACCATCAACAAAAATATATATCACCTCACCATCAACAAAAATAAATTTAATTGTAGGTTTTAGACAACTCCAATCTATGTGTTGATGACGCTCACTATGGAACGGAAGATGCTCAATTTTCGACATGGACATCATCATTTTATACCGATCAGGTACAATAAATCATAAATAATAAATATTTATATTATTTTAGTGAAATTAATACTTGTCACCTCACCATTACAAAAAATAAATTTAATTGTAGGTTTTTATGTCTCGTGAAGATGTGATGAATTGGGTGAAAAATATGGCATACTCTCTTGGTTATGTCATTGTTACAAAAAGATCAACGCAATGCAAAAATGGTCTCACGAATAAATTGGTTCTTATGTGTGACTGTGGTTTCATTATCACAAACACAATATACCATGCTTCAGTTTACTACGGGGTTTCGTCTCAAATGAAGCTCTTGATTTGATGGTGAAAGAGATTAGTCGGTCGAATGGTTTTCAACTAGATTCCTATACTTGTGGTTGTCAACTACATAGCAGTTGTCAAAGATCTTCCAGCCTAGTGGTAACGGCTTGGGCATGACATAGTCATGAACCCGAGTTTGAGCCCTGGGAGGGGAGTATTGGCGACATTTAAGTGGGGCCATGCTTTGCCTCCAAAATTGTCGGGGATTAGTCGGGCTTTGGCTCAGACACCCTTCCAAAAAAAAAAAAACTACATAGCAGTTGTGGGTTACCGTGTGCTTGCAGACTTTCAGAGTACGTAAATTCAGGTTCGTATATGCAATTACTCATGATTGATTTAATAGTTTTAAGTCTTTATATTTCAACATTTAAGAGAAAATATATTTGTATATGCAGATGAGTGTATTCCCTTGAATTCAATAGATATATTCTGGAGAACGCTAAATATTTCACCGGTAACATCTTTTCAAAGTGACAATATTTGTTGCGACGCTGAAGTAAACCATTTTAAAGAGCATTTCAACAAGCAGTCTGAAGCTGGAAAAAGAAGTTTCCTAAGAAAGTTGGTTGATATATTCAATCCAAGTAAAACTACCATGAAAGCGCCCACGGTTAAGAGAAACACTTGTGGACGACCGAGTTTGAAAGCACAACAACAAAGACATGCTCCTCCTAAGAGTAAAGATTTACGAACACGTAGCCAGTCAGCGAGATTTTTTGGGGTTGATTTGAATGTCGAACCGGAAAGACATAGTTGTTACACGAACTATCAAACAAATTATGACCGCGATCTGATCCCAAATCTAAATGAGGAGTCGGCGAGACATAGTTTGTTTGTGGATTTAAATGAAGAGCCGACTATGGAAGTCCCAAACTTAAACCAAGAACCTATGACAAACTCTTTACTCGATCATATTCCAAATATTTTTCATCGCTATATCAGACGTTTAAATAATGTCAAAGGTGATGGAAACTGTGGATTTCAGTCAATTGCCGTCGGCCTTGGTCTCGATGAAAATATGTGGCCTGCAATTCGACAAGAGTTAAGGTATCATGAGCAAGATTACATGAATATATTGACTCCTATAGGCTTTAATTACATTTGGAAGACCGTGGATTTTTCGAGAACTGGTTTTGCCCCAATGGATAAATGGATGTCTATGTCAGATACAGGGTTAGTCATCACTTCATTTTATAGGAGACCGGTTGTATTCATATCCATGGTAGGTAGTTCTACGTGCTTTCGGCTTTGGTCTGGTCCACATGAGTCAGAATCAATTGGCCCCATAGTTGTTGCACATGTTGGGGGGGGGTCATTTCATTAATCTATTGCTACGAGAAGGTTACACAATACCGTCAACTCACCCACAATGGAGGAGGTATAGGATTGATAGAGCATCTGTATGGGAAGACATGTATTCAAGTCGACAAACATAACATTTTCATGATTGTAATCTTTACTCTCTATTTACGAAAGTTGTTATTATAGTTGTTATATGTTTTTTTTTTAATTTTAAGTTATCACCAAGAATCCAATGATACGTATTAGGTAGCAAAATTGAAGTTTTGAAAGTATTTTATCCAAAATAAAAATCAAATTAAAGTATGTTACTTTTTCTTGCAATTTGTCATTTGATTAATTAAGTATGTGAACATACTTTTAATAAATAAATTTTTTGGTTATTTACATCGTTTTAACCAAGAGAAACTTAGATTAACCGATTAGTAAAAGTTCAATAATTTATTTATTTATTTTAAAAAAATCAGGATCTTTATCATTCAAAATGTAAAAGTTTAATATTTTTTTATTTAAAAAAATAGTTTAAAATTTTAATTATTTAAAATAAAAAATTAATGATTTATAATTTAAAAAATCAATTTATAAACTAAAAACAATAATTTAAAAAATTGAAAATAAATAAAGGTTATTATTAAACAATGATTATAAGTAAATAAATAAATAGTATTATTAAATAATAATTATAAGTAAAAAAAAGAAAAAAAAAAGATATAATAGGGGTATTATGGTGGGGTGTAAACCCACCCACCCACCCCTATGTAAAAATGGTGAACAAAAATGGTCATTAAATAAGGAAGGTAGGTGGGTAGGTGCCTGTACTGCGGAGTCAAACTCAGACAACGACTCCATTTTCAACTCTCCCATGGCTATGGATTTGTCTTCTCTTTCTCGCGCCGATACTTTGAATCTTGATTCTCTCTCTCACACACACAAACACGCACCAAATACCTTAGTTGAGTTATCACAATCATTACCCATTTAGATATAGACCCAAATTTCAAACACAAAATCATCCATTTCTTCCGCCACCGCCAACCACTACCACTGTCTTTCATAATTTTCACAAATTTCAGAAGAAGAAGAAGAAGAAGATATGGGAATACTACACGAAGACGTCGTGATAATTAAGCAAACCGAGAAGGAAGATGAAGCTACTGTGATTACGATTAACTGTCCAGATAAGACTGGTCTCGGCTGTGATCTTTGCCGCATCATCCTCTTCTTCGGTTTGAGCATCGTCCGTGGCGGTATGCACCAATTTCTGCCATTTTTCTGCTACTTCATTCAGGGTTTTCTTCTTTATATGTTAAGGGTTTTGATGTGTTAATCGAATTTGATTTCAAATTCTAAACAAAATTCATCGAGTTTTTATCGAGACCTCTGTTTAGCTTCTAATCTTCGAGCAAATTCTTAATTTCCCATTACCGATTTGCTAAATTCATGTGTTTGATTCTGTGATATGCGATATATAGATGTATCAACAGACGGAAAGTGGTGTTATATCGTGTTTTGGGTAGTCGGAAAAGCAAGCATACGATGGGGTTTATTGAAGAAGAGGCTATTGGAAGCTTGCCCTTCTTGTTCTTCTGCTAACACACTCATATACTATCCAGCAGAATCGCAGCCCCCTAAGCCTCCTGATGTGTTCCTCCTGAAGTTCTGTTGTCGTGATCGCCAAGCCCTGTTACATGGTATGGTATCATGGATTCATGGTTATGGGATTCATATTTTTCTGATATGATTTCATGTTTCTTGATGTGTTTTTGGGTATACTTTTGGTTTGTGTTGGATAGATGTGACGCAAGTTCTGTCTGAGCTCGAATTGATCATTCAAAGAGTGAAAGTTTCGACCACCCCGGATGGGATGGTGATGGACTTGTTCTTCATCACTGATACAAGGTTCAAACACCCTTTTAACCTCTTCTACTTTGGCCGATAAATTAGTCATGTTTGGTTAAAACTAGTTGATAAGCTGGTTGTTGGCTGATAAACTAGCTATATTTGGTAAAAAGTAGTTGATAATGTAAAATAATGTTAAATGTTGAAAACTTAATTAGAAAAAGTGGCATACTTGGAAAAAAAAGTTGGAAAAAAGCCCTCGAGCTTATTGTAGCGTTTCAACAAGTTAGCTTATGGCTAAACAAACGGAGCTTTTCAATAAGCTCAAAAAAATAAGCTAGCTTATGGTTGACAAACATGATGCAAGTTAGGGTTTTCTTGGAATCATGGCGCTTACGAGATGTGTTATCAGGGAACTTCTGCATACAAATAAGAGGAAGGAGGACACATATGGTCATTTAAAAGCGGTTGTAGGGGATGATATGGTGAGTTGTGATATAGAAATGGTCGGTCCTGAGATCACTGCGTGTTCTCAAGGCCCGCCATTTCTTATTCCTCCTGCAATCTCAGAAGATACGTTCAGCTTGGAGATGCCCGATGGGTGCAAACATGGGTCTCTCCAATCCGACAGTGTTTCAGTGACGATGGATAACTCGCTCAGTCCAGTTCATACGCTCATCCAAATTGTTTGCCGTGATCACAAAGGTCTACTCTATGATATAATGAGAACTTTGAAGGATTACAACATTCAGGTACTCGTTAAGGTCAAAGTTGTCATTTGGTTATATATCGTACCCTCTATATGACTATTAGTCACATGTTACGAGCGCCCTTTTTGGAATTCTTGATGATTCTCGGAATGGTTGGATTTATAAACATGTAACCTTCGTACTACAGATTTCATATGGGCGATTTATGACAAAAGGGACAAAAGATTGCGAGATCGATTTATTTATCGTACAAGCTGATGGGAAGAAGATAGTAGACCCTAGCAAACAAAATGCAATGTGTTCACGGATTCGTATGGAGTTATTTCGTCCTCTTAAAGTAGCTTTGGTGAGTCGTGGTCCTGATACCGAGCTGCTTGTTGCAAACCCTGTGGAATTATGTGGGAAGGGCCGGCCCCTCGTGTTTTACGATATTACCCTTGCTCTCAAGATGCTCAGTACCGACATTTTCACGGTACCCCCTCTTTTGCCCTCTTCACGACCCCACGTTTCATGCATTCATTAATGAATCCAGTTTTGGGTAACTTTCACCAAGTGTCTAATTTGTTTCTCGATATGTTATCGCAGGCAGAAATTAGTAGGCACATGATCGGGGGTAGGGAATGGGAAGTTTACAGAGTTTTACTCGATGAAGGGGATGGATCCTCGGTTCCAAGGAGGAAGATCAAGGAAGCGGTTTGGAGACTGTTGATGGGTTGGGAACGGTGATGATGATAATGACTCTTTTTAACGTATTCACGGACTGCGACAGGTGCGTATGTGTAGTTGACATATATGCGTTGCGAATAGCTTCATCCGAAAACGGAATGGCATACAAATAGGAGGGTAAAAAGGTCATTTCACGGTGTATAGGGTAGGACGAAGTTTGGTTTGAGAGGGGGGGGGGGGGGGATGGCATAAGTTAATGCTTACAGAATAGCTTCTGTATATATAACAAATATCGCGTTACACGATAGAATGAAATGGGAAATCATGGTTCAAGATTCGTATGCAACTGTTGCTTAACGAGGGAAGCGGTTTCGCGTACGACGAGCGTTGGTCGTAGAGCAACGTAACGACCCTCTCGGGGTCGTGTGAGATCCTTAATGCACGAGGTACACATGATGATACAGAAAGGAGTTTGTAGGTGATAATGTAGTGTTTATGGAATACTTATGTTTTATGGCCATGTCTGTTGAAATGACGCTTTTAGCTACTTGCTATGTGTGTGTTTGTGTATATATATACATATTATGTATATATATATATAGTATATATATGTGTGTGTATATATATGTATGGGCCTTCTCTAACCCTCGAGTTAGGGGTAAGGTCTGTGTAAATATTCCTCTCTTTAAATCCGACTCAGTGTGGAATTTGCTGAGTTTGTTTTGTTTGGTTTACATGTATGGCCATTACTTGGTTCAAGTTCACACGTATCTCGTTTCTTGAAATCTTGTTAAAGATTCACGATTGATGAGTAGATTTATTTAATTTTATTGTGTTTACGCCATTTAATTTAAAACGGGTGAGGAAGTAGATATCTTTACGAGATGAACCCAGACATTATCTGCCTGCCTGACCCTAGGGCACGTGGTTTTATCATTACTTTTCTCACGTTGGCCATGGGACCAATACAGTGGGGGCGATTGCATTGTATTCTTTTTGTTGAATGTATCAATCGATCAGATGAAAATAACATAATTTGGAATTGAATTTTTTGATTTTTGTGGTTTGTAAGATTTAGAACGGAATTAAATTCCATTTTTTATGAGAGATTTATGTTAAAAGTATAAACAATAAAATTATCTTTTATTAATTAATTATTACAAAATAAATGTTTTAAATATATTTTAAAAAATTAATAAAACATTAATGTCAAAAATGCCCCTGGATTCAAGATAATGATAGTGCAATGCAATTAATGAGAATCATAAATGCCCATTTCACCCACAAAGAAACAAGATTAGGCCCAACAAGATGCTGCCTTTAAGAATTAGGATTAGGAATGAAGGGCATCTTTGACTTTGACCAGAGGTTTAGTTTGGGATTCCCTCTCACCTTCACAATCATTAGAATATATCACAACTAATCACATTTGAGTTTCAATATATATATTATATTATAATTCATTAAGAGACTGTTTACTTGTGGTTTAATTATGCTTATTGGTCTATCTAGATTATTCGCACAACTCATTTGGGTTGTTTACTTACGGCTTATTCGCACAGAACATGACTTAATCGCACAAATATAAATGATGTGTTGTCATCATTCAGCCACAAAAATTGACATACATACATCTTATTTAAAGCACTGCCTCCTTCCCATATGAGACACACCATCGTCAACCTCTTTATGATTTTTTGTTTGATGTTCAAATAATTAATATTGAAGGGTAAATCGGTCATTTATGTTATTCGGACTGTTGGTTCAGATAAAAAAAAGTAAACAACAATACTCATTTATCCAAACAGACAAATTTATCCATACATAACTTAATATAAAATTTGGTAAACAACCCCTAGATATATTTTCTCCTCCTTTCCAGAATAACTCATATTTTATAAAATGGTCGAAATAAAATAACAATAAAATAAAGATAATGAATTTGTAATTCTCATTAATGAAAAACCCTTTAAATATGAATGAAATATAGGTAGATAGTTACAATAGATATTAGTTATAATTTATCTCTATCTAAATTTTCATATCCTTTAAACGGTAACACACTTGTCCTACAACATCATATTTATATTTTAATTTGTTTTAAGACAAATGATTAATTTTAAAAATAAGTATCTATTTTTTCATTTTACTTTTAATTATAAGACAGAATAATTTTATCTCAGATAAAAATAAAACCGTCATTCAGTTAATTAAAAAATACAGTAATTACATACTTCTAAAACCATGTGCAATTTTCGTTATAAACATTTATTTTAAATTAGTAGGATTAATAAATAAGTTAATGAAAACTAAATTTTTTAATAGATTTAATATGTAACACATCATCATCATGTGTATTTCCTTTTAACCTACGTTGATGATTTTAAATCAATTTTTATTCTTTCAAAATAAATAGTTTTTTCTTTAAATATATTTAGTTGTCAATTTTTAATAACTATGTATTTATATTATTATAAATACTAGAAAGGTACTCATACAATATAACAAGATACATCTCGATTGTAATGTTATGTTTTATTTTTATTTTTTTTTTATCTCAGACGATGTAATAATACGGTTTTATGTGGTTTTTTTAGAAAAAACAATAATGTTTTTATCTTTGAATAAAATATAAATTTGAAAATGTCATAAAAATTAAAAAAAAATAATATTGATATTAGTACCAAAACTAACAATTTAAATTTTCTCTTTTTTGTGTAATTTCTTTAACTCATTTTTTATTTATTTTTAGGTTAATAGTATAATTTTTTATAAAGATAATAATTAAGTATTTTGTTAGAACTTAATTATTATCCTAATTATATTTTAGATTTTTTATATTTAAAAATAAAATGTTTATCATTCGGCATCCAATGGTCACGGACCGACCATAAAACCCTGTTCAATAAGTGCAACGCATTAACTGTCCGCTGTCAGGTTGGGCAGTAAGGATGCTTATGGGGGGTTTAACAAAACATGTACCAATTACTACCATTAACTCTATGTGTGTTATCAATATCACTACGTGTGATTCGTTAAGACATAAATTTTCCCCTACTATTTAGTTATGTTTATCTATAGTTAGTTACACGAGTTTAAACAGTATTTAATGCATAAAAAATGGTTTTTAATATAATATACATACTAATCACATCATTTTCATTTAATATAAAAACCTTTTTTTATATATAATTAAGATATCCAGCTTTTATGCTAAATTTAATAAAAATTTCATTTCTTCATGTTATTTATCATCTCATCCAACTGTTTATTCTCCCCACAGATTTTTGTCCTACTTAACAAATCGAGCACAATCCCCACCTTATCTTCTTGAAGACCACTGATATATTTGAAAATTTCATGTTCTTCCTCCTCCAAATTAATCTCGATTACTCGGAAGAAAGCAAAACACCCATTAATATACGAATTCAATGACATGTGATTGTAAATGTGGTACTGATGCATTCTCTAAAGACATACATAAATGTTTCAAACAATATCAGATATATTACGATGATGAATTTTCATCACAAAACGACCCCCCCCCTCCAAAAAAAATAATTTTTTTTCCTCTGGTCCACCCCGACCCTATCACTGGAGAGATGTCATGTGCTTGTTATTGCCAAGTTATTATTCCATCTGTTCTAAAGTAAATTCATATTTTTATTTTAGTTTGTTGTAAAATAAGTATCTACTTTTAAGAAAATGTCTATTTTCATTTTAACCTTGATCATGCGATGGAAAAAATTTATCTATTTATTATTAATGGTAAAAGTGCAATAATTATACAGTTATTGTAAGTTATTATATGCCCACGAAACTGTTACATATGAATACTGTCAAGGAGTATGTAAACCTATAGATTTGTACACAAAGAATATTTTTGTTTCAATTTTCAGAAACCTGAGATAAATCATGTTGATCATTGAAATAATTATTCTTGGAGGATAATTATGAAAAAATACGTGTTAAAATGTAATTATGATAGTTACAAGACGTTATATGTAAATGTCTATAATTACATTAAAGTTCAAGTTAAATTATATAATATTACAGATAACTGCTAAAACCTTATTTGAGTTACAGATTAACTATAAGACAGTTCATATAAATAAGGTGATGATCAAACTAAGAGATTCAATCTGTTAGATTTAGATATCAGAAAAAATACATAAAATAAATCTTTTCTTTCCCGTTAAAAAACATATAGATCTAAAGTTTTTAGAATAACACCCAATAGATGTTAGAAAGCGTGTTTGTGTGTGAACTATCATAAAGAAAACCTACTTTGATTTTTAAGTGCTCCTTCAAATCCTCGTCAGATCTGAAAGGTACAATTCTAAACATCTTATGATTTGTTTAGACTTGTTTTTATTGTCATTGGATCGGGCATGAAGTTTTATTTAGAAGCATAAAATTATTTTTCCATGGTGTTTCCGAGGTCGCAAAGAGGTTCTAAAAATATTCATTAAACTGTATCTATTTTTTTTAATTATAGATGTTTATTTTGGAACATCGACTTAAGAGGAGTGGGCAATCTTTAAATAGCACTAGAAGAACACTCGTACAATGTAGCGAGATAAATCTCGATTTTAATGTTTCGTTTTAATACTTGTCTCCATCCATGTTACAATACAATTTTATGTGGTTTTGAGAAAACGATAATATTTTTATTTTTGAATAAAATATAAACTTGAATATATCGTAAAAATTTGAGAAAAATATCTATATTAGTATCAAATTAGCTATTGAAAAATTCTCGTTTTTTGTGTAATTTATTTAGTTTAATTTTTTATTATAATTTAATTCAAATTTAATAAACGAAGTAATTTATTTTTAGTTCAATAATATAATTTTATAAAGATAATAATTATGTATGTTATAAGAACTCAATGATTATCTTAATTATATTTTAGTTTTTTTATATTTAAAAAAATATGTTTATCTTCAATTAGTTATACAAATTCAAACATAAAGTTTTAATAAATTATACTTACGTATAATCTACTTGTATTCTTGAATTTTAAATAATATGCATCAATAAATAATAGTTTAAGCATAAAAATTGGTTTTTAAGAGTTTTCGTTAAATGCTTTATAAAATAGTATAGAAATATTTTAATTTTTGAATAAAATATAAATTTAAATATATTATAAAAATTTAAAAAAAATATCAATATTAATATCAAATTAACTATTTAAAAGTTCTCATATTTTATGTAATTTCTTTAGTTCAATTTTTATTATAAATTAACTTAAATTTAATCATGAATTAATTTATTTTTGGTTTAATAATATAATTTTATAAAGATAATAATTAAATATTCTGTTAGAACTCAATGATTATCTTAATTATATTTTAGTTTTTTATATTTATTAAAAGATGTTTATCCTGTATTTAATTATGTTTATCTTCAGTTAGTTATATGAATTCAAACATCGAGTTTTAATAAGTTGTATTTATGTATAATCTACTTGTAATATTGAATTTTTAATAATATGCATCAATAAACAATACTTTATGTATAAAAGTTGGGTTTTAAAAGTTTTTGTCAGATGGTTTTTAATATAGTAAAGATTAGATAGTCGGGGGACTGTTTATGTAATTGTTGTGAAATAGTCCACTTCGCTCAGAAAGTATCTTCCTTTTGCTATCATCGTTCGTTTTCATGAGTCCCATCTTCCATTTCAAATTATCCCAACTTTTGTACACACACTCTCTCCCCATCTTCAACACTTTGATCATCTCATCTTTGTAGATAAATTGATCGCCACAAATCATCCATTGCAGTCGCCGGATCGACACACAGCCACCACTTCTCTCCGCTCCTCCATTGGTCAACCACCATCATCACTTTCAAAAACCCTTAGCGGTATATAGATCCCTCTTCCTCTTCCTTTTCCATTTCTTTGTTGATTGCTATACAACTCAATTAGGGTTTATCTTCTCCCCAATTTGTGACTGATCGAGGACTATTTGGTGTGGGTGATCCTAGAAACTAGGGTTAGTGTTTGTGTTGAATTGGTTTGATTGTAGTATACCATAGAACGATGTTGAATAAATTTATGAAACGTGGTTCACGGAAGCCCTCGAAATCCGACACGGATGCTTATGGGTATCCTCCCGGCGGCAATCAGAATTCTGGGTCTGTTTCCAATTCTAAAGGCGCTGCTGCTGCCACCGGTGGGCAGTTTTCCGATGGAACAGCTGCTGCTACGGCTACAACTGCGACCATTGAAGTCTTGCCTATGTTTCGGGACGTTCCGGTGCCTGAAAGACAACTCTTGTTTCTTAAAAAGTGTCAGATTTGTTGCTTCCAGTTTGACTTTTCGGATACATTGGAAATGGTTAGAGAAAAGGAGATTAAGAGGCAGAATCTTGTGGAGCTTGTGGATTATGTTCAATCAGGTTCGGGGAAGATAAGTGAGGGTAATCAAGAGGAGATGATTAGAATGATTTCATTAAACATTTTCCGGTGTTTGCCACCGGGGTCTCACGAAAACCATGGGTCTGTAAGCATAGAAACCGAAGAGGATGACCCTTATCTTGATCCCTCATGGCCGCATTTACAACTTGTTTACGAGCTTCTTTTGAGATATGTAGTCTCAACAGACACCGATGCCAAGATTGCCAAGAGGTACATTGATCATTCCTTTGTGTTGAAGTTACTAGATATGTTTGATACCGAAGACCCACGTGAGCGTGAGTATCTGAAAACCATTCTCCATAGGATTTATGGGAAATTTATGGTGCATCGGCCGTTCATTAGGAAAGCAATCAACAATATCTTTTATCAGTTTATCTATGAAACAGAAAAGAATTGTGGTATTGCCGAGTTGTTGGAAATCCTTGGGAGCATAATAAATGGATTTGCATTGCCAATGAAAGAAGAGCATAAGTTGTTTCTCATTAGGGCACTTATACCGCTCCACAAACCTAAGTCGATTGGTATGTACCATCAGCAGCTCTCTTACTGTATCACTCAGTTTGTAGAGAAAGACCACAAGCTAGCGGATACCGTTATAAGGGGTTTGCTAAAATATTGGCCTATCACCAATTGCCAAAAGGAGGTTCTCTTTCTCGGGGAGCTTGAAGAAGTGCTAGAGGCAACACAGGCTGCGGAATTTCAGCGCTGTATGGTTCCTCTTTTCAGTAAAATAGCTCGGTGTCTTAATAGTCCTCATTTTCAGGTTTGAGATCACTTCAATCTTGTTTTTCTATAATGTGTGGAGTTTTGTGCTTTTGTTGTTATTGCTGATTTTGTTTCAATACATTCAACTTGCATCTATTTGCTTGAATCTTGATCGATTTTCTTCATAAATTGATGCAATTTGATGGTAGCAAATTTGATTGGTTATAGTTATTTGTTGACGTATGGAACCAAAAGATTCGTTATGTAAGGCGTGAATGGAAGTATGGACAACTATTCTTACTCTCATCTAATATCATATGCAATGCCTACTGATGGAAACACCTTTTGGTATGTGGGTGTTAGTTAAATCTTGGAATGGAAAGAGTACATTTAGTGCAGATTGATAAGAACGTTGAAGATGAGCAAGCATGTGCAAAAAGTTGATTTTTCAAAAAGATATCTTTCGGTATTTGGGTTTGTAATTATTAGGATATTAGTCGAAGGATAAGAGTAGGGGGATGAAATGGTACCATTCATAAGAGGGGCTTGGTAAACAGCAACATCCCTGACCGGGTAAGCACTCCTTTGCGTTAAGCAAGTAATAAACTGTCCCTACGTGTGCGTTTTATGAATGATCAAGGCAATGAAGGCGAGGAGGTCTTAGAGACCAAGGGCAAACACTAAAAAGTCAAATCTTTTGGATCTATTTGCTGTTTACTAATGCCCATAAAAAGTCGATTCCCATATCATCTGTTTCGTTTTTTTTTTCTTTAATAATAAAATCTCCATTTTCGAGCTCTAAGTTTGTATTGGCACTTATTAATGCATTTATTTTTGGGATGAACTCCATTTACAGGTAGCAGAGCGAGCCCTTTTCATGTGGAACAACGAGCACATTGTTAGCTTGATGGCTCTGAACCGGACCGTGGTTCTACCAATCATCTTTGAAGCACTGGAGACAAACATTCAGGCTCACTGGAACCCAGCCGTCCATGGACTCACGATTAACATTCGAAAAATGTTCATGGAAATGGATGCAGAGTTTTTTGAGGAGTGCCAGAGACAGCATTCAGAGAAACAAGCCCATGCCAGAGTGGCAGAAGATCAACGCAGACAAACGTGGCAAAGATTAGCAGATAGCTCTGTTGCACACCAAATAGGGTGAGAAATTCCGTGTTCGATTTTTGTTTTCCGCTTTTACCCCCACAGCCGTCGTGAACATCATAGAATCAGGCGAAAAGCAGCAAGCTTTGTGATGATAGACGTATAGACATGATTTTTTTCCGGTTGGGATTTAGAAATGGTTTCTTGTAATTTGTTGTTTTGTGGGTGACGAGAACTTAGAAGTGTGTAAAATTCCATGTACTACATACAGTACAATCCTTGCCTTTACGTTTATAAGGAGTGTACATATTTGGGTATATCATCATCGGTTTTTAGATGTCCGGTTGAATTTGATCGAACCCGGGTTTGGTACGGTTTTGGTTTTGATTTGGCCACGGCTTGAAAGATTTATACGCCAAATGGTTCAATACGTTTCGTGGCTCTTTTAACAGTGTGAAATCATCGATGCAAAATCTAGTTATATTGGGTTTGATGGATGGATTTTACATCCGAAAGTGAGATAGGTAGGTGAAAGAATTGTATAAGATTTTAGGGTTTTAATTTGGTTAGGTATTTATCAATTTTGTCTCACTTTTCTTCCATCTATTTTGTTGACGTACAAATATGTGTATTTGTTATATTCAATCATGTCATGTTGGAGTCTAATATTGCATCAAACATGAGACAACAACTTTAGTTTGGTCATGTCTAGTCATATGTATGCATAGGATTGGAGCGGAGACCCCAATCTTCATCCCTGTCCCTTGGGAAATATAATCATACCCCCATCGCTGTCCCTAATAGGGAACGGGGATCCCAGTGGGGAATCGAGGATATATTATTTCCGTTTATGTGAGATATTTTCAAATGAAATGTGTTAAACATAACACTCGACCCAAAATGGTCTATGTTTAAATATTACATATTTTCAAAATTTTGCTTTTATCGAGTATCAAAAATTCATATGTGAATATAGTCAACATCATACGTAATTGTTTGATCAAATGTTTTCGACTCTACGTTTTTTTTATCAAAAAAGAGTAAGGCATGTTAGAAAAAAAATGTATAAAAAAACATATGTCAAAAATACTTTTTCTAGATCTAATTATTTATAAATAATATACTTGATAATAACTATATAATATATTTGGTAATAAATATATAATGTTATTTTATAAACAGGGATGAGGCAGGGTGAGGATCATGTAACTCGATCCCATCCTCGGTTTTACAGGGAATCCCCCGACCCTGGTCGGAACAGGTACACCACGTTTTCCAGTGGGACAGGTCATGCCTTGTCATGTGTATATTTTTTAGGCATGGTCTTAGCCACTTGCAGTCTGTGCGATTGCACATGACATTATAAGCCCAAAGGATCAAGTTTTTATATGTTATTAGCTTTGAAATAATCATATGGTCAATAACCAACAAACCCAAATTGTTTAGAGCATTAATTAAGCAGCTTTATCTAAATTAAGGAAGACGGTATGAATACAGTCATAAAACAAGTGAACAACCAAACTGATTCCTATTGTTCGCCTATCGCTTCTCATTTACCTATTTTCATGGCTTCAATGGTTAAATTAAAAACCTTGTTTGACTAGTTATAAACCCGTTAAAAAATAATACATTTGGTTTGATTAAAATCAATTTTAAAAAAACTTATTGTCAACCTCTTTCAGATATGAATCTAACTGATTTAGAAAGAAAAAACTTGTATCAGTATCTCAACCTGATTAAAACAAACGATGCAAGAAAAATAATCTTGAAATCTAGAAAAAAGAATTAGAAGGTTCGTACAAAATGCACCAATTGAGGGATTAGGATAGCCAGGGACCGAACCAATCGACATCACAAAAGCCTCTTCTTTCTCTTCTTAAACTCGATTAACAGCGACCAAAAATTCGAAATCCAGCCTCTTTCGCCACTCTATCCATACCATACCATACCTTACCTTAATCTTTATCTTACTGGTTGCAATTACTCCTTCACCAAACACAAAACCCTTTGTAATCCTCCCACCACAACAAGCAATCCAACCCATTTATGTCAAAGAAAGGAGGAGCTGCGCTACAAAAGGATGCGCCATGGAGGGCACCATCTACAGGCGTCAAACCCCTCCCCAAAATCCATCATTCCCCTCTTCTTTGTCTCCCTCAGAACCCCTATACCGATTATGCCGTCTCTCTCATGAAGGTATTTCTTCCTTTATCTTCTTAGTATTTGAATTTTGTGCTTCTCTTTGATGATGCATGTTTGTGTTTAAACCTAGTTATCATATGGGGTGTTTGAGTTTCACAATCTGCTCATCAGACAGGAATTTTAAGGATAATCTGGGCTCTTTCAAAGATGTTCTAATTGATTAGTGTTTTAGTTGTCTGAAAGGGGATGGGAAGTGATTGAATATGCCTCAAAACATCATTATGTGCCTTTCAGTTATGTGTGTGTGTGTGTGTGTGTGTGTTACTACATCAAGATTCCCAATTAGGGTTATTGTGGTTGGAGACTGTTTCATAATTTGTTGTGGGTGTTTTAGAAATTTATGATGTTTTTGAGATTTTTGCAGCACCCGGATCCAATTGGACATGGGTTTGGAACAGAAGCCATAGTGGAAGCAGCAGGGCCAGAGTGTATTGTTCCTGGTCAGGTTACACCTGTTAAACTCCTTGGATTAAAGGTGCTCTTTTATTCCTCCAAAAGAAGATTACTGTTTTGGTTTTAGATTAGTTGATCATTTGCCTGAATCTGTAGAATTTGAATTTTAACTGTTAAAAACATAGAACAGGATTGATTTCTTCGGACTTTTCAGCTTTTGAGCTCCAAAATCAAAGTTACAGACACAATGGGTTTCTCTAATCTTTTGGTTGATTAATGGTATAGAAAAGACCAAAAATAGAAACTTGTAAATGGAAAAAGAATCGAGTCAAAATGGTTGATATCTTGTTATCAAAAGTCTATGCTCGGTTAAGGTCAAAATACTGTGTACTCGTTATTACTTCTATTATTTTATCATTAGACCGACATTAAAATGAGTATCCAACAAGTCTCTTGTAAATATAAGCAATCACAACTGCTAGAGTTCTATGAAGAAAATTGTATGCATATAGTACTAATGGTTTCTTGATCACTTATGGTGTGAGAATGGGAATACGGGGGTGGTAAGAGAAGAAAATTGCGAAAGTGAGACATAATGCCTATCCTCTAACATAATCGTGCTATGATGGCCAAAATGACACTTAAAGTTGTAACGAAATCGCCCATCCTCCTTCCTGAGAATTGGGTTGAAAATCCTTGGATTTTCTAGGTCCACGAAACCTAAATCTAATCAAATTCTACCACTAAAATGATGTAGTATCTGAGGCATTAGATATGGTAAATAATGCTTGATTAAGTGGTCTCTGCTAACACAAACCAATTTGATTCAGCTGTTGAATAGATTCCTTGGTTGAAGTTGTGTAAATCAACATTTATGTAGCTTTAATATGGATCTTGTTCTAGATTTAGCACCAGTTCTTTTTCTCTATCTATTTGTAGTATTTGTTACCCTGTTCAATGCTGTCCATGAAATTTTTTCTCAAATTTGAAAGGATTTACGTTGATTTTGAAGTTGAAAATTAGTTTGTTTGACCTCATAAAGGTCAACATGTGTTTGCTTATGAAGGTAGTTCTTTTGTTGGATCAAATCAAATGAAGTATACCCGCTTATGACGGAAATCCTTTCACATCTTAAAGGGTTTGTATACTTTCATCCTTTTTTCCAATTTGTCTTCGATTACATAACATTTTCATTTACCAAACAAACCACAAGAAAACAGTATATCCCACCTGGAGATGAGGTCCGGGGGGGATGATGTAAACAGACCTGCCCTTTACCCCAAAACACTAGAGCGGTTTTGGTCAAATACTGGCCATTTTCAAGCTTTTGGTCAAGTTTCATCCACCATTGTCAATGTGTATATGCAGGTCTGGCCTATCGAAGTTGACTTGAAGTTCTTGGAACCTGTTGGCAAAGAACTTAAGAATATTGGGAAGGTGAATTCTTCATTAGAATTTTCTAGTAATGAAAATTGGAACACTTGCTGTTTTGGGAAATTTACATATTTGCCCGTTTTTCATCGTTACAATTAAATTGATTGTATGGAATTCGATCAAAGAGGTCACCTTGTTTTCAGACATTTTAGATATTTGACGTATAGTCATGTTTTTTGTTACCGTATCCTTAATAGGTCCTATTAGCTTAGCATCCTAACATGATGGTATGGTTGCATTGTGGTGCAGTTTATGGATTCAGCAGTCGAGCTCATGAACAAATCATTCATGGACCAACGTTAGCCGTTTCAGGGGTTTATTCTGCGGCCGACATTATAATTAAGAGTACGAGTTAAGTTAGAGTAAAATCCAGGAGCCCCAAGTGTTTGTAATAGGGTTTGTTGATGATTTCTCATCAAGTGGTGTGTTGAAAGTAGAGCACAAGAACTATTTCTGAAATCTTTGACTTTTAAGGTCAAACTTGTTACTTATCTCAAACTCGATACTCATATGGAACTATGGATTCTTGGTGCAAGTTAGCACCAACATTTTTCTGTTTCTACTACTTAAATCTAGGAATCACAAATTTCTTGGAAATTCAAAGAATTAGCATCACTTTTAATGATGGCATGCAGTTCCTTTGACCTAGAAAGTCAACTCTTGCTTCATATGCCATGTGTTTTTCTTGATTGGTGTATACAGGCTAATCCATTTGGGTGTATTACACACTAGAAAACAGGTCATCACCCGATACCGTCAGGGTTGATCGTCGGTAAACTATACCAATAGACTCTACCGTCGGATTTCCAGCTTTAGCGACAGCTCTGTATCGGTAATGCGTCACAACATTGAAAATTAAAATGCAGACCACGGATTACCGACCAGATTATCGACAAATCACTCTTTTGGCATCTTAGTGGTCATTTAGTGACAACTTTGTGTCGAAGTATTTTGTAACGAATCTCTCGTTACTGTGTCGATAATCCGTCATTAATATATGGGTCATATGGTTATTGGTTTTTTCTTTTGTGATCCATTAGAAGTATCCACTGATACTACCCGTCAATGAAACTCTGATTTTTATTAGTGTATGTGTGTATATACTTTGTCTTGTAAGGGCGGACCTATGAAGGCCCTATCAAGGTCGAGTCTCGTGCACTTGCTCAACCGATTTTCGTAAGTAGATTTTTTTTTGAATGAAAGACGCACATGCTAAACTTTAAGGAGTTCTCCATGATATTAGAATATATAAGCGACATATGAAATGAACATGCTAGGTGGCAATATTACTGTTGTAATGGAAAAAATAGTATTATGAAATGACTAAAATACCCTTATCGTGTGTTATTTAAAAAAAGGGTTTGAGATGTTGCAATCAGTAAAAAGAAGCAGCATAAACCAAAGATTGTGACGCAAACTCCCATCGAGACCAATAGAGAAACACCTTCACAAAAGACATGGGTGGAGCTTCCACAATCACCACCCTCCTATCCGCCGTTGCTTTCCACCTATATAGTCCCTATCCAGAATACCATCCCTTACGTCTCCTACACACACACACACACACACACATATATATATATATATACATATATATAGATATATATCTGTATATATATAGATAGATATAGATATATGTATATATATATATATATATATATATGTATAAATATGTATAAACAAACAACAAACTTCACCATAAACCCTGGTTTGTTTCGATTTAATGGCAAATCGCGATGTGGGAAACTTGCGTAGAGGGCCTTGGCTTGACGAAGAAGACGAGAGATTGACCACCATTGTCAAAGCTTTAGGCGACAAAAATTGGGATGCTTTGGCCAACGAATCGGGTACGCTTAAACGCTATTTGTTTTGTTTCATATATATATATATATATGTATATATATCAATCTTGACGATTGAGTTTGGACGTATGGATCGAATTAAGGTCTGAGGAGGAGTGGAAAGAGTTGCAGGCTGAGATGGATGAACTATCTTCGACCCAATTTAAAGCATGGGGAGATCACATATGAAGAAGAACATATCATTCTTAATCTTCATAAACAATGGGGTAACAAGTAAGTATACATCTCAAACCCTAATGATTTCAACTTATTTAATCTTCGTGTGTTAGCTCAAACCGGCCGATAAAGGTTAGACCTTGGGACTTGCGTTTTTTCCTCATAAGTCATCAGTTTGAGTCTCCTCAAGACCATCGAGGATTTTAATGACTGCTATCTTTAAAGTCACATTAAATCAGTTGAGATATGCACAAGCTTACGGATACCGATTAAAATGTATATGTAGGTGGTCAAGAATCGCTAAAAGATTACCTGGACGGACAGATAACGAGATAAAGAATTACTGGAGAAGTCATTTAAAGAAGAAAACCGAAGCTCAACAAGGTCTCCACTCTCGTATTGTATGTTCATCAAGATTTCATATTCACATTCTAACAAAATTTTAAAATTGAACGCTTTGAAGGCACCAGAAATGTTGCAGAACAAGATCTCTCGACGCCCAAATGCCACAGAAGCCCCGAGTACATCATCGGTGAAAACGAAAGAGATGGGGTTTTTGGAACTTCGTCAACGGAAGCACCTGAGATATCGTCTAACATGAGTGCGTTTGGGTGCAGTTCACCTTACGAAAGGCAGATAACAGACTGGATGTCGTCGTGCTGCTGGCTGTTGCACGACGACAACCAGTTGCAAACATATGAAATAAAACAGCATGAAGATTACATGGGAATGTACCCATGTTTCTGTCAACCTGAATCGAAGCCTGAAGAAGATATGATGCATAATGTGTGTGATCTTTGGAGTCCCATCTGGGAAATGGGTTGAAACTCATAGTCTTAATTCTTCATATTTGGAAAAGTAGATAAATAATAATAATAATAATTAATGGATTCTAACCTTTTATTTTCAGATTTTATGTTCGAATATCATCTGGTGAATAATAATTTAAAACAATCGTCTATTTTTATAGAAATTCCAAAAGCCAATATTGTAATTCATGAAAGACTTGAATAATTGTAACCTCGGGAGAATCCATGTACAACCGTCGATCGTTTTCGATCCAACAGCAAGTCAACATTGATCAACCATAAGGGTTGTATTTAATTGGTTTGAGCTTGAGCTCTAAAGGTCAAAAATGTCTGGAAGTCCTAGGTTCAAATTCAAGAAGAAATAAAAATTCTCTGTGGCCACAGAGGTTCAAATGCGATGACTCCGGGCTACCCGCAAAACAGAAGGTCATCTTGAGATTAGTCGACTCGCATATCAGGTTAAATGTCCAGGTTAATTAAAAAAAACAATGCTCATGCATGTTTTCATGAAGAAGGGGTATTTTGGTCTTTTGGTTTTCCGCATATAGTCACGTCGCATGTTAATGTTAATGTTAATGTTAATGTATGTTAACAATTATGTTAAAATCTGTTTAGGATATGATGTATAAGGGAGGTTTAGGGGAAACCCTTGAACAAATGAAAAACTGAGAAATATTTTGGTAACTATTCATTTGGACGGTATATTATGTGTATAGAAGTAATTGAAGTTGTTCTCTGGTTACTATGCATGTGTACATACCAGACAAATTGTTACAAGTTACTTGTATGCACATGTGTATACGTGCAGATGAATGGTTATCAAAAGTGTTACTCAATATTTTTTTAGTTTTTTTTTTACATATTGTTAAACCTTTTTCATGTTAACTTATGTGAACATTAACCTTTTATTACAAATCTACGACCACCTTTTTTATACCCTTTCGGAATATTTATCCAAGAGCTATAAGGATTTATACGTCTTGGACGTATATAAAAAATGAGGCACTTGACGAAAAAATGTTCAACATATAAATGGTTATAATAATTCATATAAAACACTTTCATCGAGTATTTTTAGACATAATATAAACCAATAGTAGTTTCGATATCAATAGGATCAGCATTTTTTTCAAAACACAACATTGTCAATACGTTCCAATATACACACAATTTCTACAGATATGTGGATATCTTTTGGGTCACAATGTGGAGTATTTGGAGTAACGAATATGCTGTGTTCTCAAGTCTTCTTTTACGAAGGAAATAGAAGGAAAGTGGGGGTGAAGAAAAAAGTCTTGTATTCTCGAGTTCTTATTTTCCTCCCAAAACTTCCCTCCAAATTAATGTGGGAGGAAATGGAAGAAAACGAGAAGAAATGATAACAATTAAAAGTATTTATAAACTTATATATCTATCCATTAATTACAATCTGCAGTAAAATAAATAATGATATATTTGTAAAAATGACATTTTTCTTTATTGCTCAAGAGCACGAGTTTCTTTTTTTCCATTTCTTTCCTTCCCAAATTCAAGAACATTGAACAATATAAACCTGTAAAATCTCACCATCACTGGTTTTAAACTTGTAGGGTTAAACTTGTAGGGTTAAAACGTACATTTTCAAAGACAATCAATTTCTAAATTAAAAGCTCATGTTGATTATATGTTAATATCTTATTTTTGTTTTTATAGATTTAGAAGTACTTAAGATCTTTCACAAAATTAATATTAGGTACGATTTACAGAAATTCATACCAATTGAAAAAATTATCAACCGCAATAGTGCATAACATGAAATATCCGTTATTCTGATATAAAAACATAAGTCTTACGAAAAGAGTCATCAAAAGAGTCAACGAGAGATGAATGATAGATAAGATTATCAAGGTTATCAAGACAAAGCGACAATAATTATCAATTGAAATGCGGGGTATCAAATGATTCATTGAGACCCAATTAGAAAACAAAGTAAGCATACAACAGTAACTAATAGAAGCAAATGCATAAGTAAATAACAATAGATATGGAAACAGATAGCAATAGCCAATAGAAGCAGAAGTAGATGAGAAAAGGTTAAAGTTTATAGTTGTTGTTTGTTGAAGCAAGGAAGTTAAGTAGTCAAACACATAGAGATAACAATAACCAATAATATTAGACACTGGTACCCAAAAAAAATAGAGAAGCAATAAACAATTACAAAAAGCAAAAGGGTATTTAACTTTTTACATAATTTCTTCTCCAATACATTTAATCAGTACATTTTTGGGCCATTATTATCTACGAAATTCTTTCTAGGTTCCATTACTTACGAATAGAATTGGACCTTCTTTACACTACTACAATATACTGAAGAACTAGGTCGCAATTTTCCTGGGTCCTAAACAGGTGACCATCCCACCCTCCTCATAAACTGTTTTGGCTATTAAGGGGTTTTTTGTTTACCTCTTAATAGTTCCATTAAGAGGTAGACTTTGAATCGTTAAGAGGTGAATCTTGTTTGACAAAAAAATGTATCTCTTAATGGTTCTAAAACCTTCTTAATGAATTTGTGACCTAAGCCTCCCTTAACCATTAAGCGCCCTAATTTCATTGTAAACAATTACCAAATAATTAATTTTATTTTGCACTATATCATGAGAGTCTTTTAACCATTCTGACCACTTAATCATTCTGCATTAAACTATTCAACAACTGCCAAACACCCCCTAAGAAGGTTTTATATAGTTTCAAATCTCTTTCTTGAAACATCTCATAAGGGGAGTTCCAAGTGTTAAGTGATTTTGGAACTTAAAAGTATATAGATGATGTGATTGAGTTTGGTCAAGTAAAGTTGAAAACATAGAAAGAAGGATAATATATCTACTTATTGAAGGAGCAACTTTAATTTGTTTAAAGAAATGATGTGGGGAATACAAAATCTACATGAAATCATCATATTCAACATGTGTCTCTCTAAGTCTTGTCACAAACTATCATGGACCCCCTTTATATGCTTTCACTTGCATTAAATATTAATGGAACCACTTCCTATCCAAGAAGAAACCATACACCATTTCTATTCATGATACAACAACTTTACATTGTGAATTGACAAACACTTCATCACCTATCATTTTTTATGATAGTATGTGTTGTGGAGGGTTTCTCATTCTTGTGAAAGAGATGTCCTTAAACATAAACCGTTGGACCAGCCAACTAGATAAGTCTGGAAGCTATATTGTATGTGAACTAAGTTTTTGTCACAAAAGTACACTTTGTATCACCAGGAGGCTGATCACGACCATCATTTGCTTTCTTAGCCTTGGCCTAGTGGCCACCTCCTTCCATAAATGCCTTGTCTTGGGCGTGCCCACCCGGGTTCAATTCCAGGGGATGACAGGTTGTCTTTTCCGGTGCTTGCTTATGAGGTATGGCAAGTAGGGTTCACAAAATATGGACCACGGGGCCATGAGGTCCCCACCATTAAACCTTATTCGTCTTTGTATAGTAGGAAAGGGATGTAGACATGTATCTCTCGAAGAATCTTATATCTAATCGTGTTGAGTATCTAATGCAATTACTTAAAAGAATGACACAGACCCTGCATACGTGTCACACAATGTTGGTCTATCTAAACTAGTTTATCTTAATTCGTGTCTTAAAGAATGTCTTATTGCACTCTTTAAAACCCATAAATAGAAATATTTAGAATTAAATAGAAAAGAGAGTGCATATTTAAATCAGATAAAAAAAACTGTATTAAAGTTATAGAATATAAGATGTAGTTTTATTTTGTAGGTGGAAAATAATAAATATAAAAAAGGCTTTGTACTTGTCTTGCCATTCAAGAGTTTATTATGCTTAATAGAATGGTGGCTTTGCAATCCTCTCCCACTAACACATACTCACTTTTGCTTCAACACAAAGAAATAAATGTCACTTTCATAATTAAACTTATTTTGATTCAATACGATTGATTAAAATAGTCTGTGTCGATCATAAAATAATACCACTGGACTTCAGTTTATCGTTATTCATAGCCGTTGTCTGTATGCATTCTGGGTATTAATAAGAAAGATTTATGGGATCTTAAACCTGGTTTGGTACATCATCTGTATAAATCAAACAAGTTTTATACAAACTATGAGTATTTAGAAGGAATAAAACTTCATGTCTTATTAAATACAGATGAAATCTCAGTTAAAAAACCAATGAAACCAACTAAAACAAACTTTGTATTAATTTTTTATGTAATGCTTTATACTTTCTACAAAAGTTATGCTTTTAAAAGTTGAGTGTAAAAAGAACATTCAAAATTACACTATTTGAGAGGGTGAAAATGGGAAAAGCACCCATGGGCTATGGTTAGTTGGATGGGTTTGTGGGCCAAACAAAGGTTTGGGTATGGACCCAACTATTATGGGCTTCCTATGACTAAGTAATTGGAATTAAATTATTATTATGATAATAATATTAAGTAAAATAGAATAAAACATATATATATATATATATATATATATATATATATATATGGTTGGATTCACATGAGACTAAGGGTTTTTTATGAGACCCGTAAAACCAATTTATGTTCATTGATCAACTTTATAAACTAATGATTTAATGCTCTAAAGTTGCACGGTGGCAATTTTGTGATTATTAAGAAGTCTCATGCCAATTTAATGTTCAGATTGTAGATCTAATCCAAGGGTTAAGAATTGGTCTTACGGGTCTCATGAAAAACCCTTGGTCTCACATGATCCCAAGCATATATGTATATACCTTTAATCATTATAAAAAAAAAGTATATAAAAATCGAAATCTGAAATTCCTTGCCAATTCAAAACCAATTTGGAGAACTTTTTCCCAATCGTTTTGTGGTTACAGGATAGTATCGCATAAAGAAGATAAGAACATGAATGATAATAATGCAACCAAACAAGATGAAACTAGAGTCAAAGTGTTTAGCTGAGGAGACCCATCACTGTCTTCACCATAGTCGTTCTCAGCATCACCTACGCCATCTTCACCTTCACCTTCACCCGTCCACTTCCCAAGCTTGTTACTCCTGCCAACCAATGTTTCATTTTTACGTATTACAAACGGTGTCATACAATCCAAACGTCTTTAAAATACAAAAATCAAAACAAATCATCATATGAGGTGAAATGACATCATCAAATTTTGCTAGGGTAAAAATCTATCCACCATGATTGGTGGGAAGGTAATGGAATTAAAGGTAAAATTTCAAAATATTCATTATTAGTTTTTTATTATATTATATTTAAAGGGCAAAAAAAAAGTGGACCAAAATGAAGATAGAGGCAAAAGCAAAGACAAGAAACAAGAAAGTCAAAAAGTATGTGCATAAAAATATAGAAAAATTTAAAATATTTAAGAAATCATATATTTTTTTTTATAATCTAGATATCCAACCCGCTATAGAAACCTCACTGATCAAAGAGTAACGCTTCCTTCATGAATAGTTGAAGTCATCTCATTTGAATCTTCATGATCACAAAAGGGTTTTTATTCTTGTTTGGATTCGAACTTGGGACCTCCAGATATTTTTGATCTTTAAAATCTTTAAAACCCAAGCTCAAACCAATCGGACGTCATCCTTATGGTTACCTTTTTTATGTAATTACTTAGGAAAAATCCAAAAGATTCTTTATAAATTAATCAAAGAAAGTGTTGATTAATTAATATAAAAATGCTTAATTTAACAATTAATTGTTAATCAAAATGTCGGAGATCAAACCTGCTACCGAGAACGCCGGAGTTCATGGTGAGTTGGTCAATCAAGGCCGCCGACTTAGGCTCCACACTGTACGCTTTCTCATATTTGAGCTCTAATCCTTGGCCGGACGGCACAAAGAAAGCTCCGTTCACCAGAATATCCCCTTCACTCCTCCAATTCCATCCCCTCCAATGCTCTTGTGCTGTTTCCACCCTCTTCGTCACCTTTTTATCAACTTTCCGACGTTAAAAAATCATCAAAATTCATGCAAGTTCACTAAAAAAAATCAAGAAATTCGTGTACCTCCTTCGCATTACGATTGGCCGGAGCAGTATACCGGTTTCCTTGACTGTTGATCGTCGGATTTCCACTCCCTCCGATAGCATACATCTCCCACCGGGAGTACACGTTGTTGACGACGTGTATATATCCTCTCCGGCATCGTGGCATCCGCTGCACCAGCTTTTCTCCGAAATGGTTGAAGGCGATGGTCACCTGCATGCCGGAATCCGGCAAGTAAGCGTCGCTGTGGCCCAGCAGCATCACCTCGTCGTGATGTGAGAAGAAGTTATTCGATATGGTGATTCCTGTGGACCCCATGACGGCGTCTATGAGACCATCTTTGCAATGCGACAACGAGCAGTGATCAATCCAAAGGTCACGAGATCCGAATATGGATATCCCGTCGCCGTCGGATTCTGTCCGGTAGCCGTAATGCGTCGGACTAGAGCGGACGTTGGTGTTGCCCGACTGGTAGCAATGGTGGATGTGGATGTTGTGGATGATGACATTTGTGATGTACTGGAGTGTAATGCAGCCGCCGCCGGTGATGTGGACGTTGGCTCCACGGCCGTCGAGGGTTTTAAAGCTGTTGAAAATGAGTTCTTGGGAGAGTTGGATGTGCATGTTGGTCGGAAAAACGATCCAGAGGGGTTCAGTTTGGATGACAGCCCACCGGAGAGTGCCCGGAGTGGGAGTGACGGCGTCGTGGTCGGAGGAGTCGGTGACGACGTAATAGCGACCGCCTTTGCCGCCTAAGGCATATTGGCCGAAGCCGATACCGCAATCGGCCAGACGTTGGCGGTTGAGGTGCCAGTTGGGGTCGCACCGCCAACAGTCGTCGATGGGGTTTCCGGTGAGGCAGGAGGTTGATGAGTCCATGTTGGCGTATGATAGCATCTCTCTTCTTGTAATTGACGCATTTACCCTCCTACATCAGAAAAAAAAAATTTAGAATCATAATATTTGCCCTTCAAAATAAAATAAATGTACACTTACAAAATACATAATTAAATTCTCAAATTTATTTTTAATTAAATAAATAAGGTTAAGTATGTCATTTTAACACTTTTATAATGATTTATATAATTTTTTATTTTTATTTTCGTATGATATTTAACTTTTTACAAGACCTTAAATGTAATAATAAATAACCATAAGATTAAAAGTATAAGGAGGTTACAGGTTCAAATCCAAGAGGAATAAAAATCTTTTTGTGATTACGGAAGTTCAAATGCAATGACTTCAGGTTATTTATAAAGCAGATGGTGGTCCTAAGATTAGTAGACTAGTATAGCGGGTTAAATATCGAGGTTAATAAAAAATGTAATAGTAAATGTATTTTGAGGATAAACGGAAAAAGAAATAGGAAAATGTAAAGCAAAAGTAGAGGAAATATCCAAAATATAGAGGAAGGGGCCAACCCCAATAATATCTTGAAGAAAGAAAAAGTCAAAAGTAGAGCAGTCTCCATAATTATTAATTATATTAGCACTGGGCTCAACTAATCACTCTTAAAGGGATGTTTATATTTTAATATAATATAATATAATATAATATATAATGTGTGTTTTTTTTAAATGCTTTTAAGTTTAGCAAAATAATATTTTCAGATGAGTATTTGAATCTAGTTACCGCTAGCATTGCGTATGGACTGGATTGATCGGGTTAAAGACATTTGAACAATCTAACTTGACGTTCACGGTTTGAAAAATATTAACCTAAATCTAAACCAAAGTGCAACCCAACCCAAACCGTACGGGTTGGTCAGATTGATACTTTGGTACACTAAGATATTATTCTGACTTTGAATATGTTATTTCTCTATTCGTAATTTATTTTTCATTATCAACCATTTGATTCAATTTATCCATATTTCTTACGTATATCATATTCAGTTAATTTTCTCAATCGACGTATATATATTTACAGTTACTGAACATATATACGAATGAGTTATATAGAGATGTGAATAGGTTGAAAATATGTGTACATAAAGAACATACGTGACAATGCAATCGTCTAATGTATATATTAATATAAATTCAACAATCATATTAAATCCAAAAAATAAAAGGATATCAGGTTCATTGGGTTGGGTTCGAATAATATCAACCCAATATCTATAGTTTGAAAATTCTACAATTCGATTAGACATCAATTGAGTTATTTCTCGCTCGGTTGATCGGGTTTTTGAGCACCCCTAGTTTCCACCATTTTCTGACGGCTATTTTATAAAATAGAGATTTGAGGGATTATTTTATTACAACATCCGTCAAAATTATTAATTTTCGTCGCACGTATCAGTGTCAAAACGCCTCTGATGAAATTATTGAAATCACCAGCACCTTCAATTTACCCGGGTAAAACTCCTCACTATTGCTCAAGAAGGTCGTATTTTTTTCTGCTTGTTACGTTGTAAGATGTTCTTTTTTAATATAACATATTTTTTAAAAAAATATTAATTTTCATTATCTCACTCTCGTATAAATACCTCCTACAAATAACCTGACATTATTTTATCATATACATACGCTTATTTTGTTTTATTCAGAAA